CAACTCAAGCAAAAAATCGGCTGAGAGACGGCTCGTATCTCGAAAAACTCATTAGTCAGGATACTCGTAAGTCAAGGCCCCACTGTGTGTGTGTGTGTATATATATATATACACACACACACATATATAGAGACACTAGAGGCCCGATGACCAAAACTTGTGCAAGCATAGGCCCTTGTGGCCCGGCTGCCCCGCCCCCCACCCACTGATCATTCACCCACTGGTCGTTCTGGAAGGTTGTTCTGCTGTCTGATCTAATTAGCATATTAGGTCTTTATTATATAGGAGATATATATATATATATCTATATCACTAAACATATCCTCAGGTGAGAAAGTTGGAGAAGGTAACAGATTCCCGCACTCCCCTGAGAGTAAACACTGGAACCCTTTTTACAGGTGGAGTCCTAGGGGTCTTAAGAGTCTTTTATAGGTGACATTACAGGTGGAGAGCCCAGCAAATCCAAAGTTTTATTTGTTCAGCAGTTTAATAATCAGTGGAGAATCTTCTGAGTTGGAAGATCAGATTCAGGTCTTGTAAAAAGTTTACTGCCTAAATTCCTCGCGGGGAAGTACAGAAGGCCAGAAAGGGCAAGTTAAAGCGGGACAAGGAAGGGAGTATTTTAACTCTGTTTCCATGAGGCCATCCCAACTTCCACCCTGCTTTGCAGGGACTCAAAATGTTAAATATGTGATTAACAAATTGGGCCAGAGGCCTGAGGACATCATAGCCACTGTCATTAATTCTTTGTGGGTAGGTTGGGGTGGGGAGAGGGAGCTGGCCTTGAGCAAAAGCAAGCAGTAAAAGCCGTTTAGCTCAGCCATCCCACAGTCTTCCCTTTATTCTAATGTTTCCCTCCCTTCTTGCCACCCCTTCCCAAAACCTTCAAGAAATAATTATAGTCATTAACAATTTAGGGTGAATAGATGTTATCTCTTCAAAGGATATTTCCATTTTAAACTTATAAAGGTCTCCCAGACTGTTAAAGGAATTTTAAGAATATATTTAAGAATATGTAGCAATTTTTTCCTTTCTAAAATATTAGTCAGATCCTGGTAAAATCAACTTAGTTCCATCCAAAGTTGAGATTCAGCCAGCGCACACTGGTTCTCTCTGTTACTACAATTTCAGCTTCCTTCTATACCAGGTGGCCAGTCTCAGAGCCCACCTTCACCCTGTTCCAGTGTCACTCTCCGGCTCCTCTCTGGGACCTTCTGGAGCTCCACAGGATCCAGAAACTAAAGGGTCATCCTTGGTGCACCTGGGCCTCCCTGGCCCCTGTGTTCCCAGCTGTGCTCAGCATCCAGTCTGACTGGTTATGGGCAGCCATCCTGGTTGTGAAAAGTTTTGAATATCACTCCTGCTTCTACCTCTTTAGATGTACCTTCATTGTTTATCGACTCTCCCTTCCTCTCTGAAATATATATATATATTTAGAGAGAGAGAGAGAGAGGAGAGAATCAACTAATACCTTCATAAATAAGCAGAACAAAAATTGATGGTTCTCTCTTTCCTCCCTCCCTTACTGCCGCTCTCCCTCTCTCTTTCTCTTTACAAATTAAGGCACCTCCCTTCCCCTCCTCCCAAATCAACAACCATCACACCAAATTGAAATCTTTCCTAAAATGTTTTCCCCCTAGTACCTTCAAACAAGGGTTGAAAAAATGAATTGTTGAATAGTAAACTCTGGGAAAATATGGTTAAGGAAGAAAAGAATATATAACTAGGTTTGAGGTTCTTAAACTTTATTATGCCTAACAGTCACCTGAAGAACGTATTTAAAATGCAGATTTCTAGGCTTCATCTTCAGACATTCTGCTTCTATAGATCTGGGATGGTACAGGCATCTGTATTTTTACCTTGCATCCCAGGTAAATCTGATACCTTGAATGACACTGAAGAAACAGTGACCTTGACTGCTGCTGTGAATTATGCACGGTGGCTGTGGATAGGACATGTATTCTTCACCAGGAGCTTAGGGTTCCAGGATTTTACAGGCACTCACCTTTCTTCAGTTGTACAGCTTTAACTACAGGGGATTCTGATACAAGTTTCCTGGTGCATTTTCATTGATTGGCGCTCCCTCCTTGCCGACCTTCTATAAACACTCTTTTTGTTTTGAAATTACAGAGTCTGTCATCCCGAGTAGTGGAACATTTCATGTAAAGCTCCCTAAAAAGCACAACGTGGAACTTGGAATAACCATAAGTTGTAAGTAGAAGTGATTTCTTTTAAAATGTGGTCACTAAAAATTACATTAGAAAATTGTATTGTCAAATGGTTTACAGGTGTGGCAAGCGTTTTAAGTGTCATTGACAAGTTTCTACATAATGATACAAAAATGTGGAGCCAACCCCACCTCCAACACTTACAAGCTGTGTCAATGGGGCAAGTTGCTGTAATACTCTCCGATCTTATGTTTCTTCATCTGTAAGATGGAAATGATATCTACAAAATATAGAGTCATATTAAATAAAATAACACATTTATATACCTAGTGTGGTCCCTGGCAAGTAATAAGTGCTCAATAAATGTGTCCCTTACCACCCTCCATTAATAACTAGATGAGCATATAAATGCATATAGGTTCTCTACATTTCAATATATTATGAATTTAGTTTTCACAGTCATCTATTTAACTAACAAAAATTACATTTATTTACTTTTAAAACCATTTTCCCATCTGGTCACTGTGCATCTAAAATCTATTTTTTTAAATATATTTTATTGATTTTTAACTTGCATAAAGAGAAACATCGATGAGAGAGAAACCCCGATCAGCTGCCTCCTGCACACCCCAAACTGGGGATGTGCCCGCAACCAAGGTACATGCTCTTGACCGGAATCAAACCTGGGACCTTTCAGTCCGCAGGCCGACGCTCTATCCACTGAGCCAAACCGATTAGGGCTAAAATCTATTTTGCAAGACTAAAACAGTGTTTACTTTAGTAACTTCCTGAACTCCTCCATGATACAAGGTGTCTGAGTAACCAAATCACAAAGAAAAAATAAAACATAGCCCAGACAGCATGGCTCAGTGGTTGAGCATTGACCTATGAACCAAGAAGTCAGGGTTTGATTTCCGCTCAAGGCACATGCCTGGGTTGTGGGCTCCATCCCCAATGTGGGGCGTTCAGGAGGTAGTCGGTCAATGATTCACTTTCGTCATTGATGCTTCTATCTCTCTCTCCCTCTCCCTTCCTCTCTGAAATCAATATATACATACATATATATATATGTGAAAAACAAAATATATAAATATATTTCATTCCCTCCTCTTATCAGGCTCTAGATTTATAACTGCTTTGGTAAAATAACTTTGAAAATTTCAGCCCCAATGGAGTTTTATAGAATGGAAATTGAGGTTTTACTGCTTTTAATATCCATAAACTATATCCATAAATGTCCCTTCCCCCCCAGGAAATGAAGCAAATGATTAATGCATAAAGGCCAAAGGAGACAGAGGCAATGTCTGTGACCGAGGGGTGGTCCCTTCAAGAAAGAGTGATGAGGCTCCATGAAAGTGCCTCATTACACTCTGCTGCATAGCATTTATGTCAGTGGTTCTGGCAAAAATAAAGAGATCTCAATTGGGCAGTATGAAACGGGGGCTGTCCAGTTCAACATTGACCATATAAATTTAGCACTGCAAATGAAATGTTATTTATAACTAATAAATTGCACACACCAGTATAATACAATATGCATAAGAGAGAATCTGTACCCGCCCACCCCCTCCACCACCACCACCACCAAACCTCACTGTGACTTACTGGAGAAAAGTAGGGTTGAAGTGTCTGATGTGCCTCTATATAGTAAATAGAAAGGTGAAATGGAATTTTGGCAACTCCAGACCTATTCTAGGTCCTTAAAGTCATATATGCCTTTAATTGAGTCACTTAACCTCTCAGTTTGCTCAATTTGAAGCAAAGATGGTATACTATTATTCTGACAACAGCTGTGATTAGTGAAGTTAAAAGAGAGCTCATCAGAACTTACTATTCTAAAAATATGGTCCTTGCTGGGTGGCTCAGTTAGAGTGTCATCCCAGTACACCAGGGTTGCAGGTTCGATCCCTGGTCAGGGCACATGCAAGAATCAACCAATGAATGCATAAATAAGTGGAACAACAAATCTATTCTCTCTCTCTCTCTTTTTCTCTCTCTCAAATCAATCAATCAATAAAAATATTTGGAGCTCAAGATAGCTTCTGTAACTCCATGCTCTCATTTATTCTATTTATTCCATTCTGTTTATTTATTTCATCAGAATTGGCTGTGGAAGTGGTACCTCCTGGAGTTGTGCAGTGCATAGCTTGCTGGCTGTGCACAGAGGCCCTGCCTTCCACTCCGTTCTTTCGTCCTTTTGTCTTCATTGAATGAACGCATTGTGAGTGGCCACCATGCCCAGGCCCAGTGCTGAGTTTTGGAGAATACACTCCCTGCCTTAGAGATGCTACTGCTAGTGCATATACTGAAGATACCTCCTCAGAAGTTTCTATTGCTACACATTTTGCCACACAGTTAATTTACTCTCAAATTTTTATTAGGGGAAAGGTCTTTTTTGTGTTCCTATACAGATTTATTCTTAAAATTGATATACTTAAAATGTGACTTAACTATAAAGGAGAGTATTCACTTAAAAACAAATCCTGTGATATATTCCTTTTTTTAAGTCAATATTTATATGTTCAATTTGTTTAAGGTGTAATCATGTACACACAACTATAAAATATTTTATTCACATGAAGAACCATGTAAAATCACACTATATGATGATGCTACATATGCACTAAGTATGACTTCTAAAATTGATTTTAATACCAATAATGGATACTACCCCAAGCCACCCCCGACAAGAATGGCCTGACTTTTAGCTGGCCCTAAGCTAACATTATTCATGGAAGCTAAAGTGTGATGTTCCCTGGATGGAGAAATGAGACATAAGCTTGTCAAACATGCTTGTCAGCCCTTCTAGAGTTACAGCTCCATTTATACAACTAATCATCACCATCCTGAGTTTGTGTCTCCTTGTGGAAAATGTTCATATTTTGTCCATTGAGAAAGCAGGATTTGCTAAAAGAAAAGAAAAGCCAGAATCCATTTTCATTATTATGAAATAGTGAACTGAAGCCTAGCACAGCTCCTGGCACATACCAGGTGCTCATTGAATGCTTACCTGTTGAGTGAATGAATAAGGAGTCTATGATAAACAGTCTTCTGCCAGCCACTGTGCTCTCTGGGAAATGAGCCTCTGAAGAAGGTGATTAATATAGATGTCTGTGCAGAGGCTATGGTGTGGACTGAAGAAGCACTGACTTGGAAAATGATTAAGAGCAAGGACTCAGAGCCCAACTGCCCCACTCCTTGACTGTCTAATCTCTCTGTACCAGTTTCCTTGTCTATATGAGTCTGGCTAATGGTTTATCAATTTTGTTTATCCTTTCAAAGAACCAGCTCTTGGTTTCATTGATTTTTTTGTGTTTTTGGTTTTTTTTTAGTCTCTATGTTATTTATTTCTGCTCTGATCTTCATTATTTCCTTCCTTCTACTTACTCTGGGCTTTTCTTGTTGTTCTCTTTCTAGTTCTTTAAGTTGTAGGGATATATAGTTTATTGCTGATGTTTCTTATTTTTTGAGGTATACCTGTAGTGCTATGAACTTCCCTCTCAGGCCTGCTTTTGCTGTGTCCCAGAGATTTGGGGTTTTGTGTGTTCATTTTCATTTGTTTCCAGGAAGTTTTTTATTTCTTTCTTGATCTCGTTGTAACCCATTCATTGTTTAATAACATGTTATTTAGCCTCCGTGTGTTTGAATGTTTTTGGGTGTTTTTACTGTAATTGATTTCTAATTTCATGCCACTGTGATCTGAGAAGATGCTTGATATGATTTCAATCTTCTTGAACTTGTAGAGACTTGTTTTGTGTCCTAACATGTGGTGTATCTTTGTGAATGATCCATGTGCACTTGAGAAGAATGTGTATTCTGCTGCATTGGGGTGAAATGTTCTATAAATGTCAATTAAATCCATGTGATCCAGTGTGTCCTTTAGAGTCTCTGTTTCCTTGTTAAGTTTTTGTCTGGAAGATCTGTCCAGTGAAGTTAGAGGGGTGTTAATGTCCCCTACTATGACTGTATTGTTGTCAATCTCTCCATTAAAGTCCTCTAGAAGTTTTTTATATAGTTAGGTGTTCCTATATTGGATGCATATATGTTTACCAGGGTTATATCCTCTTGTTGGATCAATCCCTTTAGTATTATGTAGTGACCTTTGTTGTCTCTTGTGATGGCCTTCATTTTAAAGTCTATTTTGTCAGATATGAGTATTGCTACTCCAGCTTTTTTTTCTTTTCCATTTGCATAGAAAAATTTTTTCCATCCCTTCACTCTCATCCTGTGTGTGTCTTTTGTTTTGAGGTGGGTCTCTTGTAGACAGCATATAGTTGGGTCATGTTTTTGTATCCATTCTGCTACCCTACATCTTTTGATTGGAGCATTTAGTGCATTTGCATTTAGGGTTATTATTGAGAGGTACTTATTTATTGCCATTATATTTCTGTATGGCTAGGTTTCTCTCTCTGTTTCTTCCTCTCATTACAGCAATCCCTTTAGCATGTCTTGTAATGCTGGCTTGGTGGTGATGTACTCCCTTAGCCTTTTTTTGTCTGGGAAGCTCTTCATTTGACTGTCTATTTTGAATGATAGCCTTGCTGGATATAGTAATCTTGGTCTCATATCCTTGTTTTCCATAACTTTGAGTACTTCATGCCATTCCCTTCTGGTCTATAGAGTTTCTGATGAGAAATCAGGTGTTAGCCTTATGGGAACACCTTTGTAGGTAAAAGTTTTCTTTTCTCTTGCTGCCTTTAAGATTCTCTCTTTGTCTTTTATTTTGTCATTTTAATTATGATGTGTCTGGGCATGGGCCTGTTTGGGTTCTTCTTGTTTGGGGTTCTCTGTGCCTCCTGAACTTGTGTGACTTTTTCCTTTACCAGGTTAGGGAAATTTTCTGCCATTATTTCTTCAAACACCTTCTCTATGCCTTCCTTCCTCTTCTGTCACACCTGCTATTCTAATATTGTTTACGTTTCACATTGTCCCACAGCTCCCTTAAGCTGTCCTCCTCTATTTTAATTGTTTTTTTCTTTTTGGTTTTCTGATTGAGTGATATTTTCAACTCTGTCCTCTAATTCACTGATTCGACCCTCAGCT